CAGCATGGTTTGTCTAAAGAAGAAGGACTGAGTTACTGTGGTATCAGGATGGTTTGTCTACAGAAGAAGGACTGAGTTACTATGTTATCAGCATGGTTTGTCTAAAGAAGAAGGACTGAGTTACTGTGGTATCAGGATGGTTTGTCTACAGAAGAAGGACTGAGTTACTGTGGTATCAGGATGGTTTGTCTAAAGAAGAAGGACTGAGTTACTGTGGTATCAGGATGGTTTATCTAAAGAAGAAGGACTGAGTTACTGTGATATCAAGATGGTTTGTCTAAAGAAGAAGGACTGAGTTACTGTGGTATCAGGATGGTTATTTGTATGAGCCATAACTTATGGATTTCCCCATATAACAACAGGTTGATTTATTTATAGAAGTAGGATTTGAAACAGTCACCATTCATTCAGCAATTAGATTAGGAGCCTTTGAGAGGGGGACAGCCCCTTCTGCTAATGAAATCGCCAAGTGGAGCATCCCCAGCTATATGTAACAAGGTATCAAGGGGAGCTGGAACAATATTACAAGTTAATTGAAAGTTTGTGGAGGACCTACAGTGGGCATGGTGAACCTTCCACCTTGTTAACTGTGGCCTTCACTTCTCTAACATACAATACAGTATTGTATTTAACGTAAAGCTCTACACTTGTTATTCATCTTAAACGTGTTAACATTTATTTGTTTGTCTATTTGTAATTAAGCTCAAAGCTACACGATGGGCTATCCGTGCTGTGCCCACCACGGGTATCGAAACCCGGTTTCTAGCGTTGTAAGTCTGTAGACATACCGCTGTGCCACTAGGAAGCTCGAAGGACGCCATTGGGTAAGGCATTGCTCCCCCTCCCAGCTCCAGATTTAACTAATGGTTAACTGAGAGGACGTTGGTACAGTTGTGAAACGCTAACGACAACTTTAATATTCGAATCATTCTCAAGTAAATATAAACCACCATACCTTGAACAAGTACTTGGAAGTTGGACTCGTCTGTTCCGTGAGAATTAGACGCTATGCACGAGAACAAGGATGAATCTTGGCGGTCACTAAATAGAATCCTCAAGACAGAAATAATCCGATCATCTGTCATCTCTGTGACTTCCGTGTACCTGTGTGTAGCAAGATATGATTAGTATAACATATTCAGGTTCAGTAAATTAGTTCGAAAAGCAGCATCAAAGGTTAAACTAAAATGGATACTTGTTGTTACATTTTATTAAATTAAACTGGATATTTGTTGTTACATCAGCTTACATTAAACTGGATACTTGTTGTTACCTCTGCTTACATTAAACTGGATACTTGTTGTTACATCAACTTACATTAAACTGGCTACTTGTTACGTCA